TTTTTTTTTTTTTTTTGGTAAAAGAAATGTTAAGAATCGATATGTTTGTATAATTTTTCTACATAACACGAATAAATTTTTTAATGATTATACATTCATTTTTCATTTAAAATATAGTTTTAATAATACTTTAATAATAATTTTTAAATTATTTAATACAATACAGTGTTAGTAAGTAATAGCAAGTTCGAGATTTAAAATTGCAATATTTATCATTTTATTTAGGCAGGATTGTAATTATTTTTATGTATACAGTTTATACAGTGTTTTTTATTCCATGAATATATCTAGTAACAGGCTTACCAATTTGATCTCTGAGATTAATGTATTATTCAATCTATATATTATAAGAACAGTATATTTTATTTAAATATTTCTAATGTAAAACTTTTTTCATAGGTTATGCATATGAAACTGTATTATAAACAATTTAAATCATAAATTTTTTAATTTTAAACAATTACAATGTTATAGTAGTTTTAGTTTAATTAGTTTCAACATGTGATTCTAAGATAGTAATATACTGTGAAATTTTATATTTCATTCTTTAAAAATATAATACTGGAGGTATTTTTATAATTTCTATTTAGTAGAATGTACTTGTATTTCGATTATATAAAATATGAAAGAAACTAGTGTATGTATATTTATTATTTGAATAATAAGTATAAATATTTTGATAAATATTATGTATACAATAACATAATGTATATATTTGAAATACTGTTAACTTTTTTCAGTCAAATAATCGAACAGAATTTTTTAAACCACCTGTACCTAAAGGACGTTTACCTATAAGAAATATCAAAAAAAATAAAGAAATTGATTATTTTAAAAATTTCAAAAATTCAGTGGTAAAGAAAAATATGTATGAAGTTAAGTACCAAAGTCCAGAAACTCGTATTTCTGATGATCAATATACTGACGATGAAGATTATGATGAGAGTGAGGAAGAAGATAATATTAATTACAGTTTAAATACCTCACAAAACAGCGCACAACTAGAATCTTTTAGTACACCACATACTTCTTCTAGTACACTACAACTGCATAGGCGAAGCTTTCACAACTCAAATACAAGTCAAGATTTTAACACTAGTATCAATTTTTCTTCATACAAAATAAAAGATCAACGTACAAAAGGATTCTTCTCAAAATACTTGACTTTATGCGTTATTATTGCCTGTGTTCTATTATGTAGTTATAGTTTATTTTCTACTAATTTTTTATATCCTCAAACAAAATCTCACAAAGAAGCAATTATTGCAACAAAGCATATATTAAATAAATCAATACAAAGAATTCAGACACGATTTCATAATCAAAAAGGTACCATTTGGAATGATATATCAGCTGGAATATATGATGTAGTTTTGTTTCATACAAAACCTACAACTATTATACTGTTTGGGAATGAAATTAATACTCTGAATTGTTTAGCTCAATTACTTGCACAATTAAGTGGTAAAATTTTAGGCAGTAATGATTATTTAATATTGACCCCGAAAGACTTTCCAAATAATGTTGGTGAAGTTATTCATAATTTGAAATTACCAATCATACAGAAAAAGGCAATAGTAAGTATTTATCTAATTTTTTTGCTCCTTTTTTGTAAAAGTACATAGAAACAGTAGTCCTATTGAAATGAAATTTATTTTAGATAGTGCAGGATTTACTGAGTATCAACAGTGAAGCAATGAAAGCATTTCACAATTTTTGTGATAGAGAAAAACCTTTAGTTGGAAATGCCGTATATATAATAACAGTGATTGTTGATGGATATACATCATCCCAAAGAGAAATGGAATTTATTGAAAAACAAATATTCCAAAGATTATCAAAGTATGTAGATAAAGATATTTTAGCTGCACTAATAACTAGACTTACAGATGGAGTTATTGTGCCTGTTTTACCAGAATCAAATATAAATATTGGTTATCCAGATTGTTCCTTTCTATAAATAATAAATTGTGACTCTTTAATCACAATTAAAGTATACTATAGCACAAGATGTAATTAATTAATCTTAAGATTGAAATAGTAAAGTATTATAAATAGTAGTTACGTTATTTATGTATTGAACATTAAATAAATAAAAGATTTTGCATGTTAATATTCAACTTTATTTTATTACGTCAAATGACAGTACAGAAAATCAACATTATCAGATAAAGATTTCCAATGGATTTGGCGGTTTCTACAAATTTTCAAAAAATATAACAAGTTTGATGCCTCTGGCATGATTTCAGTTATGCTCTTGAACGACATGTTTATACAGCTTTAAACTAAAGTACAATGAATAAATTCATATTATACATGTCATACTGTGATTGTATCATAATAGTGTAACATGTCGATTCTCGTCCACGTATTGTTATTCGTCTTAGATTGCCAATTTACAATGCATTTCTTCTATGCTGTATTACAAATGATATTGCATCGGCAGGAAAACAATCTTTTTTTATTTTTAGTTATATTAGAAATAACATGAAATGTATCTTTGCAAGCTCATAAGATATTTGTAAACAATTTATCCCATAAACTTTAATATTACTACCGAATATACCGATAAAATAAGTTACAAAATGATGTAAATTATTTCGTATCAAAATTTGATAGCTTATATAAATGATACATTTACATATATATTTGAGGAAAATCAAATAAATCAAGTAATAAATCAGTGAAAACAAGCACTTATATATAATTCTTTCAATAGCAACATTTCAAAATATTTTTATAATTATTTATTTAAGAATAGCATGCATAACATAAAATAGTAAAATCGTTTTTTAATATCTTTATGTTCTATTTGATAAGCATTTCATAAATTGGCAACAAATGCTCGTAAATAACATTTTGCTAAAATATCATGTTAGCAAAATGAACGCTTACGAGTTGTTTATAATACAGTCCTCCTCTGTCGTGATAATTCAAGTCCGTAACTAAAAGTAGGTAATATATATTTATATATCTTGCATAATATAGCATGGTACCGTCAAACCTAAATAATAAATACATTTTATACAGTCACAGATTTTTTATACAGAATGCTCAAAATTTAATACGGCCAATTTTGACGATATGTTCGGACTATTTGTTTGCATTAACAGAATATAAACAATTTTCAAAATATTTATAATTTTAATATTGTCGATTTTAAAAAATTAGCTTTTAAAATATAAAAATTTTAATGTTAAAAGTTTAAACTTAATTATAGATATTTACAAGTTTTTGAATTTTTAAATTTGCTTCAAGTAAAGAAATATTTTGGAATTTTATGATTTGACCGATTACAATAAACGAAAGTTACATGTATATATGTTAAAAGAATAGAAATCATATTAATCATACGTAACGAATACTTTCGTAACGAATACGAACACTCTGTATAAAATAATCTTAAAATTACAAGATACGTATTTACAGTAAAAAATTTTAATTGGTCATGTTCCTACCTAATGTAGTAAGGATGTGAGTAACGCGTGGCATAATGTTGTCCGTGTTGGCTACGTAGTCGCGTACTTCAGTCAGTTAATGTCTTGCCAGTTATGCAAGTTTTTCGTAATTCTGAGTCAGTCATACGTCATTTGAGGTACAGGTCTACCTCATAGTAAATCGTCCTGATCATTGTTTCCGTATCGTATTTGTTTCTACTTAAGCACTAAGATGTTTACTTTGTTAATTCCAATAAACTAAACGTTTCATACTAAATATGGTTTATATTATGAGTTCGAATACGAACTTATCCAAATTATTTTAAAGCTTAAGAAGATAAAAGCATTCTCACAATCTGCCATAAGTTCGTAATAAACACAACTGCATTTTTGTAGTAAACTTAGAACGATGCGTATGGTGTAGCTAAAATAATAAGAGAAAACCACTTAAGATAACTGCGTATAAACATTTTACTCATATTTATCGTCGAGCAAAAAACTGATCATCACTTCATGATTTTTTTTTACTGATATTCTGTTCGATACAAACGAATTCAAAGTATATATATAAATATACCACTGTTTTGCATCTAACCGATTTTTCTTTCATTTTGGAAATGTCCTTATCACGAAAAATAGTTGTAAATACAAAGAACGAAACGAGATTGAACCAGGTGATACATTCAGGGGTTCCATTAAAATAAAGTGATTAAAATTCAAAGCCCTGGACTGGTAGCTGAGATGAATCAGGCGCTCTGAATAGGAACTGCTGTCCTCGCGCATCAATGGTAGGTACGACTCGCATATCTTCTGAACCGAAATATCGTTCAATTATATCGAAGGACTTCTGATAAATTTCTGGATTATGATGAGATTGCAAAAATTCTATTTTGTTTAGGCCTGAAACATTATAATATTATTTACAGTAAGATTTTAATTATTTTTTTCAACTGCATGCTTATGAACAAATTATTTTTTTTTTAATTTTATACTTACCGTAACATTCTTCGACTATTACCGCATATTGATTCATTCTATTAGGAGCAGCATCTTGTTCTCCGACACGCAGTATGTTTTCTAAACCACTTAATGCAACTTGAATAATTTTAGGATCCATGACTGTTAACAAATTGCATAACGGTGGAATGCATCCTTCAACAACAATATAACGTATTTGTTCGGGTGCACCACCACTGGTAGCATTAGTGACAGCCCATGCCGCTTCTTTTCGAATTTTGAATTCAGCTGTTATTAAAATATCAATTAGGACGGGAAATATACCGGCATCGATGACAGCCTGTTTAAATGAAATTCACCTGCTTTTTAGTAAGAAAAAATTTTATCGCGAAAAATTGCATTCTCAAGGAATTTATACAAACTTGAATTTGCTGAGGATTTCCTGCCGTAATATTAGAGATTGTCCAGCACACCTCTTTACGAATACTTTCTTGCGACGAATTCAATAGATTGTACAAACATTGTAACGCAGAACAGTTAAGAACAACTTGCGTTTGTACATCATCACCTGTAACTATATTGCCCACTGCCCGAAGCGCTGCACTGACCACGGTGTCCTGATGATGCCTGAAACAGAAAATTTGATATTATGATTTCATTATTATAATACATTTAAAATAAATCACAAACATACTTTATAAATACACTTACGTGAGTAATTCTACTAAACGTCTACATACACCTGCATCAATAACTGCTTGAATTTTTTCATTCGGCCCGTCACTTAAATAGGAAAGAGCCCAACAAGCATCAGCAAGAACATCATTATCAGTGTGCTTAAGAAAATGAGCTAAAACTGGTAAACAGGGTGCAACTTGGGTGAATTTTGGTGGTGGATTTTTGCCTCGACAAAGATTCGATATTGCCCATACCGCATTACGTATCATTGACAAACGTGTTGTTTTAGAAAGTAGCCTAAAATGAAAAGAAAAAAAAGAAAAATGTTTGGGAACTTAAATAAAAATTAGAAAATAAAAAATTTGAAACCTACTGCAAGAGAGGAGGAAGGACGCCATTGTCTAATACACGATCTCTATATTCAGGACTATCTCCTGCAATATTGCCCAATGCCCAAACTGCCTGTTCTTGAACATCTTCATATTTAGAACCAAGTAATGAAATGAAGATGGGTACAGCTCCTGCTTCTACTACTACACGTGTTTGTTGAGATGTTCCACTTGCTATATTTGTTAAAGCCCAAGCAGCTTCAAACTAAAGACATTACAAGAATACATTAATTTGAAAATACACTGTATAATTTGAGAATGTTCTTTGATCTACTAACTTGCAGAGTACAGTTTGCATCATTCTCCAAGAATTTAACAAATGTAGGTACAATTCCAGTTTTTACAACTTCATCGATTGGCGGATTTGGCTCCTTAGACAACATTTTTCTAAATCTTTGTGTAGCTGCCAATTGATTTTCTGGATTAGGACTATGTAATTCTTGCACCATTTCCATTACAATAATGGAGGTTTTCTGTAAAATAAGCAAAATATGTCCAAATAATAATTTTATACTAGTAAAAATCTTTAGATCGAGTAACAAACTTTTTAGAAATTCATTTTTTATTTTTATATTGAAGAGAGTGTTTTATTTACTGATTGTGGTGCGGGACAAATAGCTTCACTTGTTGTAATGTTGTCATCATCAGCAACCATATTAGGAACATTACGTCTCTTTGATAACTGTTGCTCTCTTTTCTGTTTTCTTAACTGAACACCTTCCTCTTCTCTACGTCGTCTCAATTCTTGTGAGTCTAAACCCACATTTTTGTAACGATATTTATGTGTAGTTGTGGCTGACATCTAAAAGATAAAAAAAATAAAGTATTGATATTATATAGTTCAATGATCATATATCAATATTATTAAACATATTGATTTTCGAATTTAGCATTTAATAAAAGCGTATTATGAAATTTTTCAATTATCCCTTAAAATAAAAATAACAAGTATATTTAAAAAAATTCACATTTATTATGTAACACTTTCAATTTTTGTATATAATCAATATCACAGAAAAAAAAGAATTTATTAGTAAAATACATCAATTAATATATACAAAATTCTGATCAATTTTTGAGCATAATTAATATATTAAATTATATGTGAGCTTTTTATTAAATTCTTTTATTAATTACTGTGTTCTAAAAACTATGTATTTTTTAAATAAAATACTTATAAGAAATTATTAAATTGCATGATTAATTAAATTTATACATTGTTACTAACATAAA